GTCGGAGTTTTTCCCTGGTAACATTGCTGGGGTCTGAAAGTATAGGATTGGAAATAGCGGCTACTTCCTGTGCCATGCATGCATTGGCTAGAATCAGCTGCCCCAGTTAAGTGGGTAAAAGGGTCAGGAGGAGGAGGGTGGCATGAAAGCCATATCTTAGTAGGTCCCAGAGGTTAGGCTGTCCACTCATCTTGAGAGGGAGCTTGTTTTAGTTTAGATAGGTGGACCCAGGAGGGGTATCCTAAAAGTTTTGCTGCAGTTGGAGTAGTAAGGATTACTATATGGGGGCGTGTCCACCTGGGTTGTAGAGTATTAGGGTGTAATTATTTCAGTAAAACACTATCTCTGGGGGACAGATCCTGTAACATGTCAGGAGTTGGGACCCCTGGAACAGGAATGACAGAATTGGCATGGGCTCGGAGAAGGGGCTCTCAAGAGAGTCAGGTAAGGTAGATAGGAGAGGAGGGGGGTGGTGATGAGGGAAGGTTATGAGTAAGTAGAAAGGGTCGCCCATACAGTAATTCAAAAGGGCTAAGTCCCGAGGGTCCCCTTGGGGTTTCCCTAAGCCTGGTTAGGGCAAGGTGGAGGAGGGAAGGCCATGACAAGCGTGTCTCAAGGGTTAATTTGGTAAGCTGTTCCTTGAAAAGGCCATTGGCCCTCTACCTTACCCGAGGACTGGGGATGGTAAGGTACATGCAGTTTCCAGGAGATGTTGAGACTTTCGGAGACCTGCTAGGTGATGCTGGATGTGAAAGCCGGCCCATTATCTGACTGTAAGGTTCAAGGGAGAACAAATCTGGGAATAATGTGTTCAATGAGTATTTCAGCAACATCAGCAGTCTCTCAAGCAGTGGGGAAAGCTTCGATCCAACCTGTAAAGATATCCACTAAAGTTAATACATATCGGAAGGCTTTATGATGGGGCATATGAGTGAAGTCAAGTTGCCAGTCCTTGCCCAGTTGGTGTCCCCTCAGTTGGTGGTTGGGTCCTGGTTGATGGATCCCTCCTTGTGAGTTAACAGAGTAGCATGTTTTACATGCATGGTGGACAGTCTCGATAGCCCTATGGAGATGAGGATGATATAAAATGGGTGACAGGGAGTGATATAAAGCCTTAGATCCTATGTGTGCAGACATGGATTTCAGTAAGTAGGGTATGGAGGAGTTTGTTTGGGAGGGAAATTTTTCCTGAAGAAAGATCCATCCCTTATCTCCAGGTTTCCCCCCCATTTGTTTGAGGATGTTAAGTTCCTCATCTGTATATGAAGGGGTGTGAGGTGTATTCAGGAACAGGGAGGGCCTGGGGAAGTTTCTTTAGCCATTTTTTTGGCCACAGTGTAGGCTTTGTTGTTCCCTCAAGAAACAAGGTCCTGGGATATCCGATGTCCTTGGCAATGTATAATGGCCACTTTGGTAGGGAAGTCGAGGTCCTGCCCAAAGAGGTGGGGGCTATCTCGAAAATCCTGAGGGAGGACCATCCACGTAAGCTGCCCCGAGATGTGTGTGTCTGGGTCCTCCCAGGTAAAAGTGAAGAGAAAGTAGGAATCGGGGTGTAAGGGGACAGTGAAGAAGGCGTCCAGGTCTAGGATGGAAAAATGAGTGGTGTTGGGTGGGACTTTGGAAAGAAGAGTACACGGGTTGGGCACTACCAGGTGAAGGGGTATAATGGCCTCATTGATGAGTCTTAGGTCCTGAACGAGGCGATATGCCCCAGTGGGCTTCCTTATGGGGAGGATAGGGGTATTACAGGGTGAGCTGATAGGTATAAGGAGCCCCTGTTGTTTGAGGCAGTCTATGATGGGCTTTAATCCTTGTCAGTGTGTCAGGAAATGGTGAACTGAGGATGGGCTGGATACATAGATTGGTCTTTGAGTCTGATTTTTTTAGGTTGATGGTGTGATGCCACAACTGGCCTGGAGGTATCCCAGGCCTGGGTATTGACAAACAGAAGGCGGGAAGGGGGTGTAGGGGATTCGGATGCCAGAAGGGGAAGAATTAAGTTACTAGAGTGGTGGGAGAGGGTGAGAGCCATATAGTGGCCTTTAGTTTATGGAGAATGTCCCTTCCAAGAAGGGGAACTGGGCAAGAGGGAATGATAAGGAAAGAGTGAGCAAAAGGGAACCCTTCCAAGCTACAAGTGAGGGGCGGGGTTCACCTAGGACTGGTGGAGGTGCCATCAATTCCCATCACCATCACTGGGGAGGGTTGACTAGGTCCTGAGTAGGAGGGCAGGACAGAATAGGCCCCCCGTGTCCAGGAAGAAGGATATGGACTTACCCACTACCTGGAGCATACTCCTGGGCTTGGCATGGGTGAGTGGGATGTCTGAGTCTGGGTGCCATCAGTCGTCCTCCATACCCAGAGTTGGAAAGCCGGACTCACCGTTTCAGGGTCTCCTCCATGTGGAGGCGCCAAGGATGCTCTGAGTCTGGGACAGTCGGACTTCCAATGGCCCATCATCTTACATTGAGGGCATGGCTGTGTGGGCTCATTTGGATTAGGACAGTGACGGGCCCAGTGTCCCTTGGTCCCACATTTGAAACAGACTCCCGGAGGGGCACGACTGTTTCCTCCTTTTTTCTGATCCCCAGAGTTTTCCGGCCTCAGGGCAGCAACCAAGGCTTGGGTTTGTAATTGGACTTTCTGCTGGAGTCTGGCTTGCAGTTTCTGCTCGGCAGCCTCCTCCCAGGTGTTAAAATTTTTAAAGGCCATTTTCACCAGGTCTGAGATGGGAGTTTGAGGATCCTCCCCCACGTTTTAAAGTTTTTTTCGAATGTCTGGCACCGACTGGGAAATAAAATGTGTCGCCAGCACAGTCGTCCCCGCTGGGGAAGCCGGGTCTAAATGAGTATACTGAGTTAAGGCTTCCATAAGTCTATTTAAGAACATGGTGCAATCCTCATTGGGGTTCTGAACAATTTCTCAGTTTGTTATAATTGACCGCCTTGTTTGAGGACACTCTTTTACCCACCAGGAGGCATTGCACCATGAGGTCATGGCATCAGCAGCCCTCCTGGCCGGCCTGATAATCCCACCCAGGATGCACCCCAGGACCACCTGGGTGCCCACGGGCATCGTGGCGGCCATGAGATGGGCCTGGTCGGCGTGTTCCCACTGCGGCCTGAATGTGCTCTCTCTCTTCAGGAGTGAGAGTTGTGGTCTGCACCACATGGAGGTCGTGCCATGTGAGGTCATGGGCCTGAGCTAAATACTGAAATTCTTTAGTATAGTTATCTGGGCTGGCAGTAAAAGAGCCCAGCCATTTTCCAATCAGAGAGAGATCTTGTAAAGAGAAAGGAACGTGAACACAGACCACTCCCTCAACCCCCGCCACCTCCCACAAGGGACAAAGTCCCTCGGTGTTTGCTGAGACCCAGTATGGGTGGTGACTGGAGGGGAAGTTGGAGGAGATAGGGGAGCCAGAGGGGAGGGAGTAGGAGGGACAAGGTTAGGTTTAGAGTAAGGGGGGGTGCTGGATGACCAATGGTCCCAAGCGGGTGAGAGGATGTGTGAGATTCTCAAGTGTTTTGGAAAGGGGAGAAGGGGAGTAGGAGTTGAGGTCATTGGAATTGGTAGGAAGTATGTTAGGAGCTGTGGAACGGGCAAGCAGGACTTGGGTAGTTGAACAGTGAGAGCAGAGGGATGGATGAGAGCGCAGATCCCAAAAAGCTTATATATAAGGAACCTCAAGCCATTTGCCTTGGCATCTGCAAAGGTCATCAAGATCCATAAGAATTTGGTAATCAAAAGTACCCTCAGAAGGCCATTGAGACTGATTGTCTAACTGGTATTGAGGCCAGGCTACAGTACAGTAATGGATAAGGCGTTGTTTCCTCAGGTCATGGAAATATCCCAAGACTTTAAAGTTAGCCAGCAGGCAGCCCGATGGGGTTTTGGGGTTGAATTTGGATCAGGCAGTTCCCATGATTCCTGCCGGGTAACCCAGAGACTGAAAACAGGTGTCCCCGTTTGCAGCTCAGGGTCACGGACAGAAACGGAGGTCCCGTGAGGATGAGGACATCTTCTGGTCCCCAGGGACCAGCGGAGAGCCACCTGGTGGCTTGGTGGAGGTGCCCTTGTGCGGCTGCAGCTTCAGGCAGGACCACCTGGATGGGGGCACGGAATCAGGGAACTTACCCAAAGTTTCCAGGCTTTGGGTTCAGTTAAGGTACTGGTGGTGAGAGGAGAGAGACTCCCCACCACTGTGGGGCCTTGATCTCCTCCTGGGTTTCAGCTGAGGTCCTAGTGGCGAGAGGAGAGAGGCCCCCTCCTGGAGCAAGGCCTGAATCCCACAGTTCTCAAGAATCCCAAGTCACAGTCACAGTTCTCCTCCTGGGTTTCGGCACCAAATGTTAGTTTTTTTCCAAAATGAACGGTGGAGAAATAAAAAACAAAACAAAACAAAACAGCAGAGCCAGGCAGTAGGTTCGAGAGGGCTTTTAATGGGGAGCGCTCCTGGGCCAGGTTCTGTGACTCGGAGAGGTGGCCCGAGTCAGGGAAGTCGTGCAGGGGTTGGGGAGTGTGGGGGTTTTCAAGCCCTATTCATTCTGGGTCTGGTATCAAGTGGGTCCCTTGCCAAATTAGGCAAGGGAACACCGTGTCCCTAGGTGATTGGCTGGAGGTGGGATAGTACAGATGATGGGGGGTGGTCCCTGGCTGGAAAGTCCTGGATGGAAAGTTTCAGTTTCCCGTTTAGGCTTCAATTTACTGGAGATGATGTGGTGGTCATGGCTGCTTTGACGGGAAGATCAGCCATTTTGACCCAATTTGAGATGTCCGCCATTTTAAGTGCCCCTGTCTCTCAGCCAGCCCAACACTGAGGAGACATCCAGAACCACTGAAAGGTCATGCTCTGTGCACAAAAGAAAACAATCAAGAGAACTACCCACACAGCTTAGTCCTGCATGGAACACTGTGACCTGCCTGTACTCTGCCTCATGGGGGTGGGGGATCCTGGGAAGGCATTCCACCCTGGAAAAAAGTCACATGACCCAGAAACTTCACACTTTCTCATACAGCATCTCCGGATTCTCATCATAAGCTATGAAGTATGCCAGGAGCTATAATGGAATGACCAAAAATCAGAAAAAGAAACAAAACTTGCCATCAGGGAAATACAAATCAAAACCACCATGAGATACCACCTCACACCAGTCAGAATGGGGAAAATTAACAAAGTAGGAAACCAAAAATGTTGGAGAGGATGTGGAGAAAGGGGAACCCTCTCGCACTGTTGGTGGGAATGTGAACTGGCACAGCCACTCTGGAAAACTGTGTGGAGGCTCCTCAAAGAGCTAAAAATAGACCTGCCCTACGACCCAGCAATTGCACTGCTGGGGATTTACCCCAAAGATACAGATGCAATGAAACACCGGGACACCTGCACCCTGATGTTTCTAGCAGCCATGTCCACAGTCGCCAAACTGTGGAAGGAGCCTCGGTGTCCATCGAAAGATGATGGATAAAGAAGATGTGGTTCATGTATACAATGGAATATTCCTCAGCCATTAGAAACACGACAAATACCCACCATTTGCTTCGACGTGGATGGAACTGGAGGGTATTATGCTGAGTGAAATAAGTCAATCGGAGAAGGACAAACAGTGTATGTTCTCATTCATTTGGGGAATATGAATAATAGTGAAGGGGAATATAAGGGAAGGGGGAAGAAATGGGTAGGAAATATCAGAAAGGGACACAGAACATGAAGACTCCTAACTCTGGGAAATGAACTAGGGGTGGTGGAAGGGGAGGAGGGTGGGGGGTGGGGGTGACTGTGTGGTGGGCACTGAGGGGGGGGCATTTGAAGGGATGAGCACTGGGTGTTATTCTGTATGTTGGTAAATTGAACACCAATAAAAAATAAATTTATTATTAAAAAAAGAAAAAAGAAACGACACATACCCACCATTTGCTTCAACGTGGATAGAACTGGAGGTTATTATGCTGAGTGAAATAAGTCAATCGGAGAAGGACAAACATTATATGGTCTCATTCATTTGGGGAATATAAAAAATAGTGAAAGGGAGTAAAAGGGAAAGGAGAAAAAATGAGTGGGAAATATCAGAAAGGGAGACAGAACATGAGAGACTCCTAACTGGGAAAGGAACAAGGGGTGGTGGAAGCGGAGGTGGGCGGGGGGTGGGGGTGAATGGGTGACGGGCACTGAGGTGGGAACTTGATAGGATGAGCACTGGGTGTTATTCTATATGTTGGAAAATTGAACACCAATGAAAAATAAATTTATAATAAAAAATAAAATAAAATAACACCACACACACACACACACACACACACAAAGAAGTCAGGAATTCCTATGTGATGAAGACTTATCACCAAACAGTGTATTTGAAGTGCAGATGAGCCTTAAGAACATAGGAAGGGGGATCCCTGGGTGGCGCAGCGGTTTAGTGCCTACCTTTGGCCGGGGCACGATCCTGGAGACCCAGGATCGAATCCCACATCGGGCTCCCTGCATGGAGCCTGCTTCTCCCTCTGCCTGTGTCTCTGCCTCTCTCTCTCTCTTTCTCTGTGATTATCATGAATAAATAAATAAAATCTTTAAAAAAAAAAGAACATAGGAAGGGACCTTGACAGAGAGACCCTCCCAGTCACAGGGGAGTCTGCACTGGGATGGCACAGGAGGAGGGTGCTCATACGGTGTGGAGGCTTGCCATTGACCATCCATATTTCAAGGACTCGGTGGTGAATGGGTACCTCATCTCCTATGTACCTTTGCCTTTGGTATTCACCCCTAAAATAATGGAATTATAGGGCAGATAAATTGAGCAGGACCTGCAATGTAGACTAAAGTTTGACACTGGAAGGAAGCTCAGAGGTAGAACAACAACATATATTTGAAGAAAATAGGATTGGGCTCAAACAATGTATATAACACAACACAGGGACGCCTGGGTGGTTCAGGGGTCGAGCACCTGCTGTTCTCTCAGGTCGTGATCCCGAGGTCCTGGGATCAAGTCCTACATCAGACTCCCTGTCAGAAGCCTACTTCTCCCTCTGCCTGTGTCTCTACCTCCCTGTCAATGGCTCTCATGAATAAATAAATAAAATCTGAAAGTAATAAATAAAATAAAACAACACACACTATAAGCATTCTGGAAAACACTGGGGAAAAACCTAGTTATAGGCTAAAGGGGGTTTTCTGTGGATGCTGGGAGAAGTTAATGTCCTCAAATTATTGGGAGTTGTTGTATTATAAATACTCTATGGGAACACCTGGGTGGCTCAGTGATTGAGCATCTGCCTTCGGCTCTGGATGTGGTCCTGGAGTTCCAGGATTGAGTCCCACATCAGGCTCCTGCATGGAGCCTGCTTCTCCTCCCTCTGCCTATGTCTCTGCCTCTCACTGTGTATTCATGAATAAATAAATAAAATCTTTAAAAATATATGATTTATCTGTATTGCATTGGGAAAACTATATAGATTTCAATTTGGAATAAAAGTTGTTATTCATTTGTTTATTTTATTTTTATCGATAGTACACTTCATTCTAGAATAATAGTTCATTGAAAAATTTTTTAGATACAGACAGACTGGCATTCTACCCCATAGTCATGTTCTGAAGAATGGCATCTGTCATTTACCATGACAGCTAAGGTCACTGCTCAGCTCCCTGAAATGCAGGCAAGAGGGAAGGGAGGGAAGAACAGACATGCATAGTGGTCCTTCAGGATCCTAGAGGCAACGCTGGCACTTCTACCATCCTTTATGATCGAGTTCATGGGGTGCAACCATCAGGATCATGGCCCAGGTCTCCCACATTCAGAAATGCTGTCCAGGGTGGAGGTGCTTGCACTAGGTGGTATCAAATCCCAGTCACCCTACCCTACAGCCCACAGCCACGCTAGTGCGGGATGTGCAGTGTGGGTGTGAATAGTGCTCCATTGCCATGAACCCACTTGGCACTGGATCAGGGGAGAATACCCAGAGGGTGAGAAAAACCTCAGTGCCCATGGGCACAAGTTTGAAGGAACATCATGCATTTTCCCTAAAAGAACCAGTAGCAACCTCCCTGAATTCTGCAGCCAGGGTCCTCAGCTCAAGGCCAGGCTACTGACTCAGGTCTTCCTGACAAGAGTCTCGGGCTCAGGTTGGGCGCTTACAGGCTTACAAACATGTGGAGAGGCCACCAACGTGTGCTTTTCAAGATTTATTTCAGAGCAGCTGATCGGAGACCAATCGCAGACCTGGTATGAGAGTCCCATGAAGTGCGTAGGACCCCATGTCTCCTGAAGACCCCTGGAAATATGGTTGTTGGCTCAGCCACAAGCTGTCTATAATTTCAATCATGCTCCTTTGGATTGTTAATTGTTGTTCAAGGGTCTGGAGGCTGATTTATGGATTTCCTGTGTCAACTATCTGCTCTTTAACTGTGACTGTCTTAATTTTTTTTACATTGGTGGCAACACCAAAGAGGAGTGCAGCAATGAAGGCATAGATTCGAGCAAAGACGACTCTCAGATATACCACTGCCTCACGACTTTGCCTGACTGCCCGCCTTCTTCTTGGAGGGGGTCCACTGTCTATACTCCCTCCTTTACCTCGCAATTTGCAGAATGGGGGATCCCAGCCTATGTGGCAATGACAGTTCCTGTTGTTGTTGCAAATGCCCCTGTGATTGCATTTCTCAGGGATACAGTCATAATTCATGTCACTTATAGTACCATTGCAGACAGAATTTGCACAGTATTTTTCAGGAGCACAGGGGGTACCAGGTCTCACATGACCAACATCATTTGTTCCTGTGCCACGATGGGAATCCACTCCAAAACACCAGACCCCTGATATCTTAGACTGATGGAATCCCACATGTTCTTGCAACTGAGGGAGATGAGTGACATTACTACACTGCAGCCTTCCACACTTGACATCTTGGTCCTGACAAGGAATAAAACGTCTGGCTGCATACTCTCTTTTACAGTGTCCAAATCGGTGGCCTTTTTTATTAATTTGGTAGCAGGCATCTGGAGCCTCCACAGTGGATGCTCCAAAGATTTCCTTGCAGTGCACAGTGCGGTCAGTACAGTTTCCATGATAGCAGTAGCCCCCTTCACTGCATGCGGTTCCATCTTGCATATAGAAATCATCGGGGCACTGATTGGATCCCCCCTTGCAATACTCTGGAAGGTCACAGATGTTTTGGATTGGTCTGCAGAGTGTCCCAGCAGCAGAGAAGGAGCAGTTTGTGCAGCATAGTCCCTTATCACAGAGAAATGTACTTTCAAGTCTGCAGTCATTACTGCAGCAGGGGTTGCTGCTGCACTCCTTAAGGGAACCACAGTCACATTCTTCCCTACCCTCCACTATAGAGTTTCCACAACGTATGTGTGTCAGACTTGCATTAAAGAATACCACCTCTTCATTGAATAGGCAGTGCTTGTTAACACTCAGGATGTTTTGTAAGTGCATGAAAGAACAGTTACTAAAGGAATCAGTCAACACAGGGTATCTGTACATGATACAGGTGGACCTCCTCTGGCAACCACAATCAGCATTATCATAATACAGACCCAAGTTTCTCGCAGCATATTGGGACATTATCACTGCAAGCAATACATAATGTCTGCCTAGGAGACCAATCATATGTAGGCATCGAGCAGAACATATGCCACCTAATGTAGGTTCATTTTGATAATCTTGTGGCCCGTCTCTAACCAAAACAAAGGATGAACTAGGGTTTATGATCCTGAACAAGTTGTTCGCATGATATCTGTAGTATTCGCCAGCTGGCAATCTATAATCATTCATGTTGACTGGATCTCTCACATGAAATATCAGGACTGCAGTAAGATGGTACCTTATATCAAGACCTTTATATATTGAGTCTATTAAACTAACCATACTGATCAGAAACTTTGCACAGGTTGTAACATTATTATATAGACGATACATAGAATTGGAACTTTGAGCAAATCCTTTCAGCATGGCTTTATGGGAGGAAAAGACCCTACTACCAATCCGGGGAATGGCACTGGTATTTGCTTGAGAGAACAAGGGGTCCCTGTCCTCCTTCAGTCCCAGTTTATAGGTAGGGCCTGTTGCATTGGTGTCTGCCACTATCTGAGAAACAATGTGTTCAAATCTTTGGGAACTGCTGAGGGGTTTGATCTCATAGGCAAGGTCATCCAATTTCATAATACCTTCCAGTCCCCCATAGCACGTGTCCAGGGTGACCATGGAAAGAGGAACCTCCTCCAGGTAGCCGAGGTAGTAACAGTCAGGAGGGACGAAGGGGTAGTCCATCTGCAAGGCACCTTGGTCATCCTGAGTCATCACCAGCAGATGCCTGGACCAGAAGAGTTTCTTGCGCCGCATGTGGATAACGTGCCTCTTGCCCCCAAAACGCAGGCTGTAGGACAGCCAGCCTGGCATCTGGATGCCTTTGCCATGGTGCAACTCCTTCCTGGGAATGACCATCTCAGAGGAGACGTAGCGCCATGAGGGACGGCCTTGAGAACCCTGGGCGGGAGCCAGCCCTGCCCAGAGCACAAGCAGCAAGAGGAGCCCTCTCATGGTACCCCGGCCCTGTGCCAGCCTCACCCCCTGCTCAGGGACATCTGGCAGTGAGGTAGATAAAAGGAGGACCCTCAGCACAGCCAGGTCTAGAGGATCTGACAGAACAGAGGACTGCCTCAGGCTGCCAGGTCCCTACACCTGGCAACCAGCTATGGGGAGTAGGTCACAGACACTGGGTGTGGCAGAGGGTGGGTCTGCACATCAGTTCAGCTGGGGTGGATGTGCGAGAGGTGGGGAGGGGGATGAACCCAGAGGAAGCCCCACACGTTCAGTCTTTCCTCCAGATCCACTGATGAAAGAAATTGAAGATGACAAAAAAAAGAGATATGGAATACTCACAGGTAGAAAGAAAAATGACTATTAAAATTTCTATATTACCTTGGTCACCAGGGTGTCAGTGTTGTTTCAATTTTGCATTTTACTCAGGTCAAGACATACTCATCCTGTGCTCCAGCACTGGGTCGGGCTCCCTGTTAATTAGGAGTCTGCTTCTCTCTCTCCCTTGATCCCTCCCTCATTCCTGCTCATCACTCTTCTCCCTCTCTCTCAAAGGATAACCAAACTCTTTTAAGGTATAGACGGGCTCTGAGGGGGCACTTGACGAAATGAGTACTGGGTGTTTTACTATATGTTGGCAAATCGAATTCCAATTAAAAAATAATATATATTAAAAAAAATAAAACCAGTAGTTATAATGACAATAAAAGATATAGAGATACATGCATACAAACATACACACATACTTACATACCTACACACATAAATGTCTATAATACTGAAAGCGGTGTCCACATTCAATACAGTCCCTACCAGAATACCACCAGCAAATTTTGGAACTGTAACGAACTATCCTACAGTTTGTATGGGAACACACAAAACCTAAATAGACAAAGCAATCCTGAAAAAGAACAGCAAAGCTGGAGGCATCAAGATTCTGATGTCAAGGTATATTACAAAGCTGCGATCATCAAGATGACATGGTCCTGGCACAAAAACAGACACATAGATCAATGGAATGGAACATAGAAAAAATAGGACCCTCCACTCTATGGTCACCTAAACTTTGACAAAGCAGACAAAAATATCTTATGGAAAAAAGACAGTGTCTACAGCACACGGTGTTGCTAAAACTGGAGAGCTGCTTGAAGAAGGATGGAACTGGACCACTGTCTCCACCATACACAGAGATAAGGTCAAAATGGATGAAAGATAAATGTGGGCCAGGGAACCACAAGTGTCCTGGAGGAGAACACAGGCAGCCAAGTCCTTCATAGGACCCAGACAAATTCTCTCTAGAAGTGTCTCCAGAGGAGAGGAAGCCAAAAACAAAAATAAACATTCTGAACTTTATCAAGACAAAACAAAACAAGGACTTCTGCACATTGAAGGAATAGGCCACAAAAGGTAAAGGCAAGCGATGGAATGGGAGAACATATTTGCAGATGCCGCATCTGATAATGGGCCGCATCTGATAATGGGCTAGTATGCAAACTATCCAGCACTTCATTAGGATTTTTTTTTCACATTTTCAGTAGACAACATGTCCATGGAGCTTAGCACACTGTCATGAGAGGAGCAGAGTTCCCGTCTTTCACTTTGTATTGTGGTAATTTCTCCACAACATGAGATCTACCTTCTTATCAAAATTGTACCTGTAGGCACACTATTGTGATTTACATGTGCAGGGTTCTGGAGCAAACCTCTGGAATCAAGTCATGTTGCATGACAGAAAACCATAACCCTAGAGATGCAAGTCCCCATTGCTCCTCCCAGCAGTCCCTGGCAACGGCCAATCCATTCTCTGCTTCATTGTTCCCAAAACCCAACTTCAGGTGCCCATTGTTGACAAGGCCGATATTCAAGAGATGAGTTTTGACTGGAAAGTAAGGGAGCTTGGTTCAGGAGGCCACTCACATGGGCTGGAGGAGCACACTTGTGAGGTTTTTCCTAACGCAGAGGATATTAAAGGGTTTTTGGAAGCTAATCATACAAGGGAGTGCGGAGCTTGGAAACATTTCTTTCCCACACGCAGGCTTTCAGGTGCTGGCTACCATCCTTGCCTCAGTACACCCCCATCCCTGGGTCTTCTGCTCAGGGCAGCCACCCATGCTGCTCAAGGCCAGGAAAGAACCACAGTAGAGGAGGACAGCAAACAACCCCAGGGTCACCCATGTGGTCAAAAGTATATTCTGTTCTCGCAACCTGGCATGATAAACAATAAAATACAACCTGGGACCTCACCTGTCCTCGCCCAGAACACTGGGTAATGTTTTATTCAGTGAGCTCAAAGGAGGCTTCCAAGAAAATACCAAAGGATCAAATGACTGGCAGATTGGTGGCAAAGCAGAATAAGACAAATAGTTACAAAGCCGTGCCGTTCAAAGCCACATGGTAAAATTTGTCACATCTCCCTCAACAAGCCAACGAAGGAGCTAGCAGTGGTCTCCACAGGGAGGGATAGTGGCCTTGCACAGAACGTGACCCCGGGTAGCCATGGTAGATGGAACTGGTAGAGAAAGTAATTGCTGTATAACCTTATGGTACATATTCAAGGATCTCTGGAGGAAAGACTGAACGTGTGGGAAAGGGGCTTCCTCTGGGTTCATCCCCCTCCCCACCTCTCGCACATCCACCCCAGCTGAACTGATGTGCAGACCCACCCTCTGCCACACCCAGTGTCTGTGACCTACTCCCCATAGCTGGTTGCCAGGTGTAGGGACCTGGCAGCCTGAGGCAGTCCTCTGTTCTGTCAGATCCTCTAGACCTGGCTGTGCTGAGGGTCCTCCTTTTATCTACCTCACTGCCAGATGTCCCTGAGCAGGGGGTGAGGCTGGCACAGGGCCGGGGTACCATGAGAGGGCTCCTCTTGCTGCTTGTGCTCTGGGCAGGGCTGGCTCCCGCCCAGGGTTCTCAAGGCCGTCCCTCATGGCGCTACGTCTCCTCTGAGATGGTCATTCCCAGGAAGGAGTTGCACCATGGCAAAGGCATCCAGATGCCAGGCTGGCTGTCCTACAGCCTGCGTTTTGGGGGCAAGAGGCACGTTATCCACATGCGGCGCAAGAAACTCTTCTGGTCCAGGCATCTGCTGGTGATGACTCAGGATGACCAAGGTGCCTTGCAGATGGACTACCCCTTCGTCCCTCCTGACTGTTACTACCTCGGCTACCTGGAGGAGGTTCCTCTTTCCATGGTCACCCTGGACACGTGCTATGGGGGACTGGAAGGTATTATGAAATTGGATGACCTTGCCTATGAGATCAAACCCCTCAGCAGTTCCCAAAGATTTGAACACATTGTTTCTCAGATAGTGGCAGACACCAATGCAACAGGCCCTACCTATAAACTGGGACTGAAGGAGGACAGGGACCCCTTGTTCTCTCAAGCAAATACCAGTGCCATTCCCCGGTTCTCAAGTAAGATGTATGCATCTCATCACGGACAGGTGAAAGCACTTTCCTTAAGTTCCAACTCAATGTATAGAGTGTTCAACAACGTGTCTAAATGTGCCCAATTCCTGATAAGGATTTTTAGTTTAATTGACACATTCTATCAAGCACTTGATGTGAATTACTATATTGGATCCATGATTATTTACACTCAGGGAGAGCCAGCTACCATGAACAGTTTTCATCCAATTCAAAGTCCATTAGCTAGATATTACCGTTCTAAACTTTATCCAATTTTTCTTCCACATTCAACCTTAATTGTAACTAAAGAAGGGCCACTGGATAATAATACAGAACCTATAATTTATGGTTTATGCAAAACGCAAAACCTCCTCGTGCTTGCGTATCTAGACAAACATTATTTAATATTGTCTATCATAGCAGCACAGAAGGTGGGTAGAAGTTTGGGGTTGTATTATGACAACAGGTATTGTGTCTGTCAGAGAAGGACTACATGCATTATGAACAGATACATGGGTCTGACTGATGCTTTCAGTAACTGTTCTTTTAAACATGTCCTAAGCGTTCTGGGTACTATTAAAGCTGAGTGCATGTACAGCACCAACGTTGTGTACTTAAATAAAAGCCTGACTCATGATCGCTGTGGAAACTACATAGTGGATCCACTTGAACAGTGTGACTGTGGCTCCTTCAAACAGTGTTACAACAATCCCTGCTGTCAGAGTGATTGTACCTTCACTACTGGAAGCATATGTAATACAGGCACATGCTGCACAAACTGCACCTATTCCCCTGCTGGGACACTCTGCAGACCAATCCAAAATATCTGTGATCTTCCTGAGTACTGCCGAGGAGAGTCCTCGACATGCCCTGATGATTTCTATATGCAAGATGGAACCCCATGCACTGAAGTGGGCTACTGCTATCATGGAAACTGTACTGACCGCTCTGTGCACTGCAAAGAAATCTTTGGTAAAAATGCTGTGAACGGTGCAGATGTCTGCTATACCATAAATAGAAGAGGTGATAGATATGGACACTGCCGAAGGCCAGCTGGGAAAAAAACCAGTACCTCTTGTGAGGTCGAAAATATTCAGTGTGGAAGACTGCAGTGTAGCAATGTCACTCATCTCCCACGGTTGCAAGAACATGTGGGATTCCATCAGTCTAAGATATCAGGGGTCTGGTGTTTTGGATTGGATTCCCATCGTGGCACAGGAACAAATGATGTTGGTCATGTGAGACCTGGTACTCTGTGTGCTCCTGGAAAGTTCTGTCAAAATACCTACTGCAATGGCAGTATAGCTCAGCTAAATTATGACTGTATCCCTGAGAAATGCAATCGCAGGGGGATATGCAACAACAGGAGGAATTGTCATTGCCACATAGGCTGGGATCCTCCTCGGTGCATTGATCGAGGTGCTGGTGGGAGCACAGACAGTGGACCCCCTCCAAGAAGAATGCGGGCAGTCAGGCAAAGTCATGAGTCAGTGATATATCTGAGAGTGGTCTTTGCTCGCATCTATGCCTTGATAACTGCATTCCTCTTTGGCGTTGCCACCAATGTTAGAACCATCAAGACAGTCACAGTAAAAGAGGAAATAGTTGATGAAGCCAATCTGAAATACAACTTGAGAAAGTGAAGCAACAAGCCAATCCATAAGTCAGCCTCCAGACCCCTGAACAACAATTGGCAATCCACAGGAACATGAGTGAATCTATGGCAAGTTGGTGGCCAGAACGAAATCCACATTCCCAGGGCTCTGCAGGAGACACAGGGTCCCATGCATATCATGGGGTTCCACGTCTGCGACTGGTCTCCAACAAGCCGTCCTGAAATAAATCTTGAAAAGTACATGTTGGTGGCCTCTCCACATGTTTATAAGCCTGTAAGCGCCCAACCTGAGCCTGAGACTCTGTCAGGAAGACCTGAATCAGTAGTCTGGCCTTGAGCTGAGGTCCCCAGTTGCAGAATTCAGGGAGGTTGCTACTGGTTCTTTTAGGCAAATTCATTATGTTCCTTCAAAACTGTGCCCTTGGGCACTGAGGTTTTTCTCACCCTCCGGGTAATCTCTCCTGCTCCAGTCCAAAAGTGGGTTCATGGCAATGGAGGTCTATCAGCACCCACACTGTGTGTCCGACACTGGGGTAGCTGTGGGCTGTATGGGAGGGTGCCTGGGATTTGATACCACCTAATGCAACCACTGCCACCCTGGACAGCATGTTTCTGAATGCAGGGAACCTGGGCCATGATCCTCATGATTGCATCCCATAAACTCAATCATAAAGGATGGTAGAAGTGCCAATGTTGCCTCTACCACCCTTCAGGACCCCTATGCATGTTTGTTTTTCCCTCCCTTCCCTCTCCCCTGAATTTCAGGGAGTTGAGCAGTGACCATAGCTGAGTAGGTGCAGTGGAAATTCAACTTGTATTTCTGAGCTCCTGCATGGGCATCAGACATGAAATCACACCCACTCTCACCCCCCATAACCCTTGATAAGGACTAGCCTGTAACTCCTTCTCTGGCTGTCCCAGGCAGCTTTTTACAATCTCCAACCAGGGTGGAGCCCATGAAAGGCTACAGACCTCAATCCCTTCCACCTCTTGTGTAATTGGCTACTTGCTACCCTGTGCTCTTTCTGCTGTTCCCTGGGGACCCAGGATGGGAGTCCCCCCTTCCTGGGTCATCGTAAACCCTCATTTCTGGGCTCTGAACCTATTAAAACTTATGAGTCTGCTTCAGTCGAGGGGTGAACTGAAACCCGACATTCAGTCAAGATAGCCTTCCAGTCACACAATCTCTAATTGGGAGCTCTGAGGCCAAGGAAGCCACCTATCACCTCCGTGTGGGCAGTAAAGCCTCCTCCTCCAGCAGGTCATTGTCTATGTGTTCTTAATTCAGGACATCAGGGTTTTTGTACAATTCCTTGTATCACTAATAACTTTCCATTCTGTCTGAAATTTTTACTGAAATGTTTGTTGAGTCCTTTGTTAATTTTACTTGAAATTTTATTCTTTTTTTTCATAGTATAATTCCATTTAATTGTAAAGGCATTACTGCTGAGGAGAACAAAGGCAAAAATATAGGCTAACAGTCAATCTCCTTACAACCTGCAGCCCCTGATGAATCGCTGAGACATGCAAAGTGTGATGCTCCTCCAGGAACTCATAGCTCCCCTAAATTTGATGTTTTATTAGAGACTGAAGGAACTTTATTCTTTTTTTGTTAATAAATTAATTTTTATTGGTGTTCAATTGGCCAACATACAGAATAACACCCAGTGCTCATCCCGTCAAGTGTCCCCCTCCATGCCCGTCACCCATTGATCCCCACCCCCCGCCCTCCTCCCCTTCCACCACCCCTAGTTCATTTCCCAGAGTTAGAAATCTTTATGTTCTGTCTCCCTTTCTGATATCTCCCACACATTTCTTCTCCTTTCCCTTATATTCCCCTTCACTATTATTCATATTCCCCAAATGAATGAGAACATACACTGTTTGTCCTTCTCCGATTGACTTACTTCACTCAGCATAATACCCTCCAGTTCCATCCACGTTGAAGCAAATGGTGGGTATTTGTCGTTTCTAATGGCTGAGTAATATTCCATTGTATACATAGACCACATCTTCTTTATCCATCATCTTTCGATGGACACTGAGGCGCCTTCCACAGTTTGGCTATTGTGGACATGGCTGCTAGAAACATCGGGGTGCAGGTGCCCGGCATTTCACTGCATCTGAATCTTTGGGGTAAATCCCCAGCAGTCCAATTGCTGGGTCATAGGGCAGATCTATTTTTAACTCTTTGAGGAACCTCCACATAATTTTCTAGAGTGGCTGTTCCAGTTCACATTCCCACCAACAGTGTAAGAGGGTTCCCCTTTCTCCACATCCTCTCCAACATTTGTTGTTTCCTGCCTTGTTAATTTTCCCCCTTCTCACTGGTGTGAGGTGGTATCTGATTGTGGTTTTGATTTGTATTTCCCTGATGGCCAGTGATGCGGAGCATTTTCTCATGTGCTTGTTGCCTGTGTCTGTCTTCCTCTGTGAGAGATTTCTGTTCATGTCTTTTGCCCATTTCATGATTGGATTATTTGTTTCTTTGCTGTTCAGGTAATAAGTGCTTTATGGATCTTGGATTCTAGTCCATTATCTAGTCATTTGAAAATATCTTTTCCCATTCTGTAGGTTGTCTTTTAGTGTTGTTGACTGTTTCCTTTGTTGTGCAAAGGCTTCTTATCTTGATGAAGTCCCAATAGTTCATTTTTGCTTTTGTATCTCTTGCCTTCATGGATGTTGGGTGTTGCCTGTGTTCTCCTCTAGGATTTTGATGGAATCTTGTCTCACATTTAGACCTTTCATCCATTTTGAGTATATGTTTGTGTATGGTGTAAGAGAATTGTCTAGTTTCATTCTTCTGCATGTGGATGTCCAATTTTCCCAGCACCATTTATTGAAGAGACTGTCTTTTTTCCAGTGGATCGTCTTTCCTCCTTTGTCGAATATTAGTTGACCATAAAGTTGAGGGTCCACTTCTGGATTCTCTAATTTGTTCCATTGACCTATGTGTCTGTTTTTGTGCCAGTACCACACTGTCTTGATGACCACAGCTTTGTAGTACAACCTGAAATCTGGCATTGTGATGCCCCCAGATATGGTTTTCTTTTTTAGAATTCCCCTGGCTATTCGGGGTCTTTTCTGATTCCACACAAATCTTAAGATGATTTGTTCCAACTCTCTGAAGAACGTCCATGGTATTTTGATAGGGATTGCATTAAACGTGTACATTACCCTGGGTAAGACTGACAGTTTCACAATATTTATTCTTCCAATCCATGAGCATGGAATATTTTTCCATGTCTTTGTGTCCTCCTCAATTTCTTTCAGAAGTGTTCTATAGTTTTTAGGGTATAGATCCTTTACCTCTTTGGTTAGGCTTATTCCTAGGTATCTGATGCTTTTGGGTGCAATTGTAAATGGGATTGACTCCTTAATTTCTTTCTTCAGTCTCATTGTTAGTGTATAGAAATGCCACTGACTTCTGGGCATTGGTTTTGTATCATGACACACTTCCAAATTGCTGTATGAGCAATTTGGGGTGTAGTCTTTTGGGTTTTCTAGGTACCGTATCATGTCATCGGTGAAGAGGGAGAGTTTGACTTCTTCTTTGCCAATTTGAATGCCTTTTATTTCTTTGTGTTGCCTGATTGCTGAGGCTAGTACTTCTACTACTATGTTGAATAGCAGTGGTGAGAGTGGACATCCCTGTCTTGTTCCTAATCTTAGGGGAAAGGCTCCCAGTGCTTCCCCATTGAGAATGATATTTGCTGTGGGATTTTTGTAGACCCCTTTTAAGATTCTGATGAATGTTCCCTCTATGCCTACACTCTGAAGAGTTTAGATCATGAACGGATGCTTTATTTTGTCAAATGCTTACTCTACATGTATTGATAAAATCAATGGTTCTTGTTTTTTCTCTTCCTGATATGATCAATCCATTGATTGCTTTACAAGGGTTGAACCAGTCTTGCATCCCGGGGATAAATCCCATTTGGTCATTATGAATAATTTTCTTAATGTACTGTTGGATCCTATTGGCTTGTATCTTTGAGAATTTTTGCATCCGTGTTTATCAGGGATATTGGTCTATAATTCTCCTTTTTGGTGGGGTCTTTGTCTGGTTTTGAAACTAAGGTGATGCTGGTCTCATAGTAGGAGATTGGAAGTATTCCATCTCTTTGCATCTTTCTGAATAGCTTTAGTAGAATAAGTATGGTTTCTTCTTTAAACCTTTGATAGAATTCCTCTGAGAAGCCTTCTGGCCCTGGACTTTTGTATTTTGGGAGGTTTTTTTGATGACTGCTTCAATTTCCTCCCTGGTTATTGGCCTGATAAGGTTTTCTATTTCTTCCTGTTCCAGGTATGGTAGTCTGTGGTTTTCCAGAAATGTGTCCATTTCTTCTAGATTGCCTAATTATTGGTATATAGCTGTTCATAATAGGTATTTAAAATCATTTGTATTTCCTTGGTATTGATCTCTCCTTTCTCATTCATGAATTTATTATTTTGAGTCTTTTCTCTCTTCTTTTTAATAAGGTTGGCTAATGGTTTATCTATCTTATTAATTCTTTCAAAGAACCAACTCCTAGTTTTGTTGATCTGTTCCACAGTTCTTCTGGTCTCTATTTCATTGAGTTCTGCTCAAATCTTTATTAATTCTCTTCTTCTTCTGGGTGTAGGATCTATTTGCTGTTTTTTTTCTCCAGATCCTTTAGGTGAGAAGTTAGCTTTTGTGTTTGAGTTCTTTCCTGTATTTTAATGGACACTTGTATTGAGATGTATTTCCCCCTCAGGACTGCTTTTGCTGTTCCCAAAGATTTTGAACACTTGTATCTTCATTCTCATTAGTTTCCATGAATCTTTTTAATTCTTCTTTAATTTCCTGATTGACCTTTTCATATTTTATCAGGATAGTACTAAACCTCCACGTGTTTGAAATTCTTCCAAATTTCATCTTGTGGTTTAGTTCTAGATTCAAAGCATTACAGTCTGAAAATATGCAGGGGACAATCCCAATTATTAGATATAGGTTAAGACATAATTTGTGGTGCAGTATGTGGTCTATTCTGGAGAAAGTTCCATGTGCACTTGAGAATGTGCATTCAGTTGCCTTTGGATGTAAAGTTAGGGGCAGCCCTGGTGGATCAGCTGTTTATCACCACCTTCAGCCCGGGTTCTGATCCTGGAGACCCAGGATCAAGTCCTACGTCAGGCTCCCTGCATGGAGCCTGCTTCTCCCTCTGCCTATGTCTCTGCCTCTCTCTCTCCCTCTGTGTGTGTGTCTCTCATGAATAGGATGTAATGTTCTGTAAATATCAGTGAAATCCATCTGGTACAGTGTATTATTTAAAGCTCTTGTTTCTTTGGAGATGTGCTTAGAAGATCTGTCGATTGTAGAAGGAGCTGTGTTCAAGATACAAAGTATAAGTGTATTATTATCTAAGCATGTCTTAACTTTGGTTATTAATTGATTGATATACTTGCAGCTCCCACATTTGTGGCATAAATATTCATGACTGTTAGGTCCTCTTGTTGGATAGATCCTTTAAGTATGATATAGTGTCCCTGTTCATCTCTTACTACAGTCTTTGGGATAAACTTTAATTTATCTTATATAAGGATGGATACCCCTGCTTTGTTTTGAGGCCCATTTGAATGGTTAATGGTTCTCCAACCTTTTATTTTCAGGCTGTAGGTGTCCTTACATCTAAAATGAGTCTCTTGTAGAAAGCAAATAGTTGGGTCTTGCTTTTTTATCCAGTCTGAAACCCTGCACCTTTTGATGGGGTCATTAAGCCCATTCATGTTCAGAGTTACTATTGAAATATATGAGTTTAGTGTCATCTTGATACCTATTCAGTCCTTGTTTTTGTGGATTGTTCCCTTGGAATTCCTCTTTCTATTACAGAATCCAGCTTAATATTTCTTGCAGAGCTGGTTTGGTGGTCTCATATCCTTTCAGTTTCTGCCTAACTTGGAAGCTCTTTATCTCTCCTTCTATTCTGAATTAGAGCCTTGCTGCATAAAGTATTCTTGGCTGAATATTCTTCTCATGTAGGACCCTGAATATATCCTGCCAGCCCTTTCTGGCCTGCCAGGTCTCTGTGGAGAGGTCTGCCGTTAACGTAATACTTCTCCCCATAAAGGTTACGGATCTCGTCTCTTGCTGCTTTAAGGATCTTTTCTTTATCTCTGGAATTTGCAAGTTTCAGTATTAAATGTCAGGTGTTGAGCGGTTTTTATTGATTTTCGGGGGCGGGGGGATCTCTCTATCTCCTGGAAACAATGCCTGTTTCCCTTCTCAAGTTAGGGAAGTTCTCTGGTATATTGTTCAAATACACTTTATGGTCCTCTGTATCTTTCAGCGCCCTCAGAACCCCAATTAAACATAGATGTTTTCTTCCTAAGCTGGCATTTATTTCCCTTAACCTATCCTCATGATATTTTAATTGTTTTTCTCTTTTTTCCTCACCTTCCTTCCTTGCCATCAACTTGTCTTTTATGTCACTCACTCGTACTTCTACCTCGTTAACCCTCGTCATTAGAAACTCCAGTTTGGATTGCATCTCATTTAATTGATTTTAAATTTCTGTCTGATTAGATCTAAACTCTGCAGTCATGAAGTCTCTTGAATCCTTTATGCTTCTTTCTAGAGCCATCAGTAGCTTTGTAATTGTGCTTCTGAATTGGCTTTCTGACATTGGATTGTAATCCAAATTTTGTAACTCTGTGGGAGAGAGGACTGTTTCTGATTCTTTCTTTTGTTGTGACTTTTTCCTTCTAGTCATTTTGCTCAGTGCAGAGTGGCCAAAAACAAGTTGTACTGGAAAAGGAGAAAAAGAGAGAGAAGAAATGGGGTGGGGGAAACAAACAGAAAACAACAAAACAAGGGGGAGTATCCTCTGATTCTATATACTGTAAATCCCTCCACTTCCCCCTGGAACTTTCTAGTGCTGCTTGGTCAATAACTTGCACTACCCCTGTCCTTCTAGCTGGTCTTCTGGGGGAGGGGTCTGCTGTGTTCTCAGGTGTGAGCACTTGGGGGAGCTGCCCAGCCCCCTGCCAGGTGCACGGCTCAGTGGGAGCTGTTTATCCTTGTAGTCCCCTGCTCAGAATCAGGCACAAGGTGACACCAGGAGGAACAACAACAGCGGTGGTGGCAAGCTCTCCAGCCCTGGAGTCAGCTCCCACAGTAACCTCCACAGCTCCCAGTCCACAGGGGCCTGGATGCTCTGGGGGCGGAGGCTGCTGGTCTGCATAGCTCGGGGCCGCCCAGCGGCAAGAGTGTCCTTGCTATCCTGTGTCCTCGCGGCCTCTGTGTCCCAGGGGGAGCGCTGGAACCTATGCTGTGTCCCCCAGCACCCTGGGCTCCTAGTGGGCCTGTGCTGCTGGAATCGCGCTCCCAGCCACGCAGCCCCCTCCACACCGAGCCTCTGCCTGAGCCACCTCCGAGCTGCTCCTGGGCCCCGCTGGATGTGCTGCAGCCCTTTAGGGAGCTCAGCCATGGTGTGTGGTGCACTCTCCCCGGGGCACAGGTGCTCTGTTAGTGTCCCAGGGAGCCTGAGGGCATCCCCACCCCTCCTGGGATCCTGCACCAACTCCCTGTGAGCGCCTTTCCGTCCGGGAAGATTGGTGAACCTCCTGCTTCTCCAGACGCAGGCTTTCTGTCCTGGGAGCTCTCGCCACCCCCTATAAGCCCAGATCCCTGAGGGGCCCCTCCCTCGTGGATGCTTTTTTTTATTTATTTTTCCCCGTCTTCCTACCTTGATAGAAGTGCAAACTCTTAAAAATAGACCTGCCCTACAACCCAGCAATTGCACAGTTGGGGATTTACTACAAAGATACAGATGCAATGAAATGCTGGGACACCTGCACCCCGATGTTTATAGCATCAATGTCCACAATAGCCAAACTGTTGAAGGAGCCTCGGTGTCCATCGAAAGATGAATGGATAAAGAAGATGTGGTTTATGTATACAATGGAATATTACTCAGTCATTAGAAATGACAAATACCCACCATTTGCTTCACCGTGGATGGAACTGGAGGGTATTATGCTGAGTGAAATAAGTCAGTTGGAGAAAGACAAACATTATATATATTCTCGTTCATTTGGGGAATATAAATAATAGTGAAAGGGAAGGAAGGGGAAGGGAGAAGAAATGGGTAGGAAATATCAGAAAGGGAGACAGAACATGAGAGACTCCTAACTCTGGGAAACGAACTAGGGGTGGTGGAAGGGGAGGAGGGCGGGGGGTGGGGGTGAGTGGGTGACGGGCACTGAGGGGGGCACTTGACAGAATGAGCACTGGGTGTTATTCTGTATGTTGGCAAATTGAACAACAATAAAAAATAAATTTATTATTAAAAAAAAGAAGTGCAAACTCTTCTCACTGTAGCATTCCAGCTGTTCTCTCTTTAAATCTCAGGCTGAAGTCATAGTTTTTCATGATGATTTGAGTCATCTAGGTAAGTTGGTGGAGACAGGTGACTTGGGGACCCTACTCTTCCGCCATCTTGCCCCACCTCCAAAAGCTTCTTATCTTGATGAAGTCCCAATAGTTCATTTTTGCTTTTGTTTCTCTTGCCTTCATGGATCTATCTTCCCCCCTCCTAGTTTCATCCTTCTGCATGAGGCTGTCCAATTTTCCCAGCACCATTGATTGAAGAGACTGCTCATAGACTGTTATAGTATTTCTTGCTTTGTCGAATATTATTTGATAGAATTGAGAGGTCATTTCTTGGTTCACTACTTTCTTCCATTGATGTATGTGCCTGTTTTTGTGCCTGGACCACACTGTCTTGATGACCACAGCTTTGTCGTACAACTTGAAATCTGGCATTGTGATGCCCCAGCTCTGGTTTTCTTTTTCAACGTGTAAATTCCCTGGGTGACATTGACTTTTGACAATATTAATTTTTCCAATCCATGAGCATGGAATATTTTTCCATCTCTTTGTGCCTTACTCAATTTCTTTCAGAAGTGTTCTGTAGTTTTTAGGGCATAGATCCTTTACCTCTTTGGTTAGGTTTATTCCTAGGTATCTTATGCTTTTGAGTCCAATTGTTAATTGGGTTGATTTCTTAATTTCTCTTTCTTCAGTCACATTTTTGAAAAAACTGAAATACATGCTTCTGGTCCCTGCACAAGCACACATATAACCTTCAGAACCAGCTGAAAACTTTGGCAAGAGGACAGATTCCATTTGAGATTCTGGGTGAGTCGTTGGTCTACTTCTATCTATAATCATATCATAAATTTGCTACTTCTCTGTGATCATTCCTATTTTTCAGGATGTCAGGTATTATTTTTTTCCCACAGGGATTGTAGATCCCTCTTTTAAAAAATATTTTATTTGTTTATTCATGAGATAGAAAGAAAGAGAAGAGGCAGAGACCCAGGCAGAGGGAGAAGCAGTCTCCATGCAGGGAGCTTGATGTGGGACTTGAACTCGAGACTCCAGGATCATGCCTTAGGTTGAAGGCCAACACTATATGAGCCACCCAGAGATCCCCTGATCCCTCTAATCCTTGAAGTACATGGAGATATTTGTATATTTTTCATATTTAGGGAAATAGTAAATAAGTGTAAGCAAATCTGTCTTCTGTGCTTATAAAGTAGCTGTTTTCCTAAAGAATCTAATTTTTCAAATCGGAAACCGAATAGCTTAGCACAAATTCCTGGTCCTCACAGGCTCCCTGGGGGAAACTGCTCCTTGGAGGGGAAGCCCAGACCTCAACAGGAAGCCTGCCCAGAACCTCCATCTGCACCTGCTCCTGGGCCTTCAAGACAGAAGTCGTGAGGAGTGCGCACCCCCTGGTGGTCCCGATCCCCTTCCACAGGGAGGTTTGTGTCTGGGCTCACACTGAGGTCACCTCACTGTGTCCTTCGCACAGTAATACACGGCCGTGTCCTCGGCTCTCAGGCTGTTCACCTGCAGATACAGCGTGTTTTTGGCGTTGTCTTTGGAGATGGTGAATCAGCCCTTCACAGCGTCTGCATAGCTTTTGCTACTTCCATCATTGCTAATCCATGTGACCCACTGCAGCCCCTTCCCTGGAGCTTGGTGGATCCAGTACATCCAGTAGCCACTGAAGGTGAATCCAGAGGCCACACAGGAGAGTCTCAGGGACCCCCCAGGCTTCACCAGGTCTCCCCCAGACTCCACCAGCTGCACCTCACCCTGAGCACCTGCAGACACAAGACATCCTGGTCAGGAAACTGTCCCACATCCCCTGTTTCTCTCACTTAACTCAACTCATATATTCAATGTCTCTTGTTCTCCATGAATTACTTTCTAAATTGTGAGAAGAAAAGCCCAGCAGAGCAACAACTCCATGGTGGTTTGTCTGTGTTCACTCCTGATCACTGAATGGGTCACCTGGGGATCTGGGGCTGGGGCTCCTCTCCCCGCTGCAGGGTCGGGGCTGAGCTGGTTTAATCAGTGGAGGGAGGGCCCTATTTGCACATCCTTGAATATATAATCAGTTCCACACCTGAATTTGATTCTTTACAAGTTATTATCAAGGATTGTTTTACATTTGTCGGCCACTGTGTGTAATGTCTTGTGACATTATGAAGTGTTCAAATCTATGAAAAAAATTACTTTTGCATTTCTTTTATGACTTTTTAAAAATCTCTCATCAACGTAGGTACTTTAAGTTTACAGTATTTTACCTCCTTCAGAATATTTAATCCTATATATTATGTTTTTAACAGCGATGTCAATGTAATAAGGTTTTATTAATTACCTTTTATTTTTTTAAGATTTTATTTATTCATGAAAGACACAGAGGAAGGAGAGAGAGGGGCAGAGACACAGGCAGAGAGAGAAGCAGGCTCCATCCAGGGAGCCTGATGTGGGACTCCATCCTGGGACTCACCAAGGGAGTTGCTAAACCTCTGAGCCACCCAGGGATTCCCCTATTAATTAGCTTTTAAATACTTTATTTGTAGGGATGCCTAGGTGGCTCAGCGGTTGAGGTGTGCCTTCTGCTCCTGGAGGGATCCTGGAGTCCAGAGATCCAGTCCTGCATTGGACTCTCTGCATGGAGCCTGCTTCTCTCTCTGCCTGTGTCTCTGCCTCTGTGTATCTCTCATGAATAATTAAATAAAACCTTTAAAATGTAAAAAAATTGTTGTTAGTGTGTGGAAACCTAAATATATTTTGTATGTTTATTTTGTATCCTAAAGCTTCCCTGAAATTGATTATTAACTAAGGGTTTGGTTTTGGACCTTCTGTGGTTTGACCCTGCAACAGATCATGTCATATGGATACAAATATGTTTTTCTGTATATATTAAGTATCTGTTATTCTTTGTTTCTTAAATTTCCTGGATTGGAAATCCAGTCGTTGCCCCAGTAATATTTTCCTTCTCTTCTATACGGTTATTTTTCTGGACTAATTACTCTCTAGACTTATGACAGGCCTCAGTGGAGATGTATTTCATGTTGCATGTGCATGAGCTCCCTAGAACACAACACGCAGACAATGACCAAAGTAGGCAACCTGTGTACTTATCACACAATACGTTGGGTCTGTGGAGATAGAAGGCCAGGATATTGGGTTTGGGTCAGTGAATTAGTGAGGAACTGATAAGGGATGTTTGCACAGCCTTCTGGGCCCTACAGACGGTTCTGGTGCTGAGGATGGTTCACCCCTCCCGGTAGGGAGAAGGGCATTGTCCCATGGGAGATTTATTTCCTTTCATCAGGGTAACATAGGAGGTTCAGCCTCTCTGTCCACCGGATGATTCTTGTGTGATTTTTTTCACAATAATCCAGGGAACCAGCTGACATATGGGGTGGCACAGTTTATTCTCCTTCAGTATAACATGTTGAATACTCAGGGTGGGAATGACCTCCTGTGTGGGTCCTGACTTGATAGAAGGGCTTCAGGTTTTCACTTTTGAATGCAGTGTTGGTTGTGGGTTTTTCATAGAATGTGACTACTTCCATCAGATAGGAAGCAATCTCTCCTGCCTCAATTGTTAAGATGTTTTGAAGATAACAGCATATTAGACATTGTCAAGCGGTTTTAGGCATCATAGGAAAGAATCATGTACACCCATTCCTTCACTCTGTTAATACAGGGCCCCATTTATGATCTCTGTGTGTTGAAGCATCCTTGCATCCAGGGATGATTCCCTCTAGGTCATCCTGTGCGATCTGTCCATGGGCTGTTGGATTCAGGATGCCAGGATTTTTGCATTTATCTGCATCTGAGATGTTGTCCATGAGACCCTTCTTGTGGGGTCTGTGGTGTGGGTTTGTTGTCAGACTCCTCCTGGCCTCCTTAAATCAACTTGGTCATGTTCTATTCTCATTTTGTTTTGGAAGAGATTTAAAAGTTTGGGCCTTAATTCTTAAAATATTTGAATATTCATAGATATAGCCATCTGATTTTGACCTTTTCTTTATTGTTTTTATAATTTCCATTGTCTTTTTTGAGGCAGAATACTTTTTAGAGATTTTATTAATTTATTCATTAGAGGCACAGACACAGGCAGAGGGAGAAGCAGGCTCACTGCAGGGAGTCCCACATGGGACTGGATCCCAGGTCTCCAGGATCAGGCCCTGGGCTGAAGGCAGTGCTAAACCCCTGAGCCACCTGGGCTGCCCCAGGGAGAATTTTTAGATAATAGTTTCAGGCTTCATATTTGTTCTGTTTTGCTCATTTTTTAAATTTCTTCATGAATGAGTTTTGTTTATTGATAATACTAGTAATTTTGTAATTTTCTGTGGTTATCCAATATTTATTGTCTTAAAATCTTAGAATTTTATTCAAGCTCCTTTTTTTTTGGTGTCAGTAATTTCTTCTCTTTGAAATATGATAAATATTTATTAATAAGGGAGGCATTTGGTTAAAAAAGTAAGTCATGAAACTTAACAAAATATATAACCGATGCATTAATAGGTATACCAATATTCTATCCCTTAGTTCCAATGAATACCTAAGAGCCTATGAGCTATCAAAATTTCATTTTTATTTTCTATATGCTTATTTAAATCTTCTTATTTTTATTTGTCAATGGAATAGATGAATTTTTTGTTCTAAGAAATTTAATGTTGATTGAGTTAATCAAAATACCAATTGTTTTCTTACATTATAGAAAAACTCCATATTCATATGAAAAATAAAATCACATGATAGTGACCATACAATTATAAGAAATAAAAACAATAGTCAGACATCACACATCTCTCTACAGAAATGTATTTTAGTCACACATTTAGCATTTCAGTGTGTGACTACCTAATGTCAGACATGTAGACAGTGCAGCACATGATGGAGTCCAGAAGTAAACGTGTGCATATACAGTCAGAAATCCTCCAAAAATATCTACGAATACACAGTGGGGAAAGGATAGTCTCTAGAGCAAATGGTGTTGGACATCCTCATGAAAATAATGACTCTTGTTCCTTACCAAACATCACACAGATACAAGGACACAGAAAATCTAAAAATGGATTAAAGAGTTAAGCAGAAGTCTCAACCTTAGAACTTATACATGTAAACTAAGGGGAAAACATTATGATGTTTGCTTGGTTGTGATTTATTTGATATCACATTAAAATCACAGTAAAAAAACAAAGACAGATGATTGGGGCTACCTCATGCCCAAAGTGTGCAGAACAAATATTAGCAGAACAAGGGCAGCCTATGAAATGGGATACTGTGTGTTCAACTATATACTGAGACGGACTTAGTATCCAAAATACATGAGGGACTCAACCTCAATAGAAAGTCTGACGAAACACAATAATAACAAATCCAAACCCTCCATTAAATAGTTTCTCAAGGATGGGGCCCCCTTGCAACTCAGGTGGTTAAGCATCTAATTCTTGGTTTTGTCTCACGTTGTGATCTCAGGATCCTGGATTTGAGTCCCAACTCAGGCTCTGGTCGTGGGGAAACTGCTTGAGATTTTCTTTTTCTCTCTCCTGCTCCTCTCCTCTTTCTCTCTAAATAAATATATAAATTATATTTTTAAATTAGGAAAAGTTCTTCTATATCTATTTCTCTATAGAAAACAAACAATAGTGGGATCCTGTGTGGACAGTTAATTAAAATTCTGACATCAACTCTGTTCGAAATACCTGACCTCATTTCCAGCTGAATGAGAGGAAGGTCTCTACTTCAGGTTGTAGGGAGAGGCAGTAGCAGGAGACGGATGGACTCAGTGGAGGTGTCCTCATGTAGTCCTGCTCTCCTGAAGGAGAGAGCCTGAGACTAAGACGCTGGAGGGGACACCTGCTGTCAGAATACACATCAGACTCTGGTCTCAGGAGCTCCCCATCAGAGGACCCAAGCTGGTTTGGGTCAGTCTGTGAAGCCTCCATACATGAGGATGTTGTGTACAGGAGGGCAGCATGCAGCCTGATGCAGAGGAGCTCATCATTTGGGTTTGGGGAAGAGAGAGGGAAAAAAAGCCCAACCAAACCACTGTGACCCTGGCCTGGCTGTACTAATGCCCCAGGCTGCATGGCCTGTCCTCTCTGAGACTGCTGACCTTCATGGAACATCATGTCCTTGAGGTTCCCCTGGGATCATGGGTGTGCATCAATAGTGTGATGTCTTATCGCAGAATCCTCTCCCATTGATGGATGTTTTCTACTGGGATTATTCTTTAAATCACGATGAAGTCCCAATAGTTCATTTTTGCTTTTGTTTCTTTTGCTTTTGTGGATGTATCTTGCAAGAAGTTACTGTGGCCAAGTTCAAAAAGGGTGTTGCCTGTGTTCTCCTCTAGAATTTTGATGGAGTCTTGTCTCACATTTAAATCTTTCATCCATTTTGAGTTTATCTTTGTGTATGGTGCAAGAGAGTGGTCTAGTTTCATTCTTCTGCATGTGGATGACCAATTTTCCCAGCACCATTTATTGAAGAGACTGTCTTTCTTCCAGTGGATCGTCTTTCCTCCTTTGTCGAATAAGAAGCTTTTGCACAGCAAAGGATACAGTCAACAAAACTCAAAGACAACCTACAGAATGGGAGAAGATATTTGCAAATAACATATCAGATAAAGGGCTAGTTTCCAAAATGTATAAAGAACTTATTAAACTCAACAGCAAAGAAACAAACAATCCAATCATGAAATGGGCAAAAGACATGAAGAGAAATCTCACAGAGGAAGACATCGACATGGCCAACACGCACATGAGAAAATGCTCCGCATCACTTGCCGTCAGGGAAATACAAATCAAAACCACAATGAGATACCACCTCACACCAGTGAGAATGGGGAAAATTAACAAGGCAGGAAACCACAAATGTTGGAGAGGATGTGGAGAAAAGGGAAACCTCCTGCACTGTTGGTGGGAATGTGAACTGGTGCAGCCACTCTGGAAAACTGTGTGGAGGTTCCTCAAAGAACTAAAAATAGACATGCCCTACGACCCAGCAATTGCACTGTTAGGGATTTACCCCAAAGATTCAGATGCAATGAAACGCCGGGACACCTGCACCCCGATGTTTCCAGCAGCCATGTCCACAATAGCCAAACTGTGGAAGGAGCCTCGGTGCCCATCGAAAGATGAATGGATAAAGAAGATGTGGTCTATGTATACAATGGAATATTCCTCAGCCATTAGAAACGACAAATACCCACCATTTGCTTCAACATGGGTGGAACTGGAGGGTATTATGCTGAGTGAAGTAAGTCAATCGGAGAAGGACAAACAGTGTATGTTCTCATTCATTTGGGGAATATGAATAATAGTGAAGGGGAATATAAGGGAAGGGAGAAGAAATGTGTGGGAGATATCAGAAAGGGAGACAGAACATAAAGACTCCTAACTCTGGGAAATGAACTAGGGGTGGTGGAGGGGGAGGAGGGCGGGGGGTGGGGGTGAATGGGTGACGGGCACTAAGGGGGACACTTGACGGGATGAGCACTGGGTGTTATTCTGTATGTTGGTAAATTGAACACCAATAAAAATTAATTTATTAAAAAAATAAAAAAATAAATCACGAAGGCTTCTGGGGGCGTTCTAGGCTTCTAACAGAAATGAAGACCCTATAAATCATCACATGCAATATTTACATGAACATGGGTTTTCGTTATTCTGGAGCAACCAATGAGGAGCGGCATTTCTGGGTCACGTGGTAGATTATCCATCTTTAATTTCAGGAGGAACAGAAAAATTATTTTCCAGGGCTTCTGTTTCATTTTTCATTCCTACCTGCAGGGTTGAGGCTCCAGGTGTCCTGTATGCTCCCCAGGATGTTCTGGTCAGTGCTTCTTTCATACCTGAGCTCCTGTGATGAGTGTATAGGGCATCTCATTGTGGTGGATGTGAATTTCCCTCACAGATCCTGGTGGGATGTGTCCTCTGTGCTTACTTCATGTATCTGTACACTCCTGTATAACATGTCCACACAAGGCTCTGCCTGTTTTATAGATGAATGCTGTTTTTTCTGAGTCTTGAGGGTTCTTTAGATATGCAGGTGAACATTTTTGTTGGTTATGAAACTTGTGCATGTTTTCCCTTGGTCCATATCTTGTTTTCATTACCTTGATAAATATGTGGATAGAAAAAATGTAGTTGATTTTCACAAAGTGTATTCTTAATGTTTGGTGTTATGCATATTGATTTTTATCTATAACATTTGGATTTCACAATTAATGATTGCCTATGAATAATTTCTCCATTGACAATATATTGAAAAGCCTTTTTTTCCCCAGGTCTCCTCAGTGTTGCTGTCTTCCCAACTTGGTCTTTAGTAACTCGGTGTTTTTATTTTATATGAATATAGACTCTGGCAATTGATTTTCATGGTGTTGTTTTCATAAATGGTAGCAATTCTGTTCTCCTGCTCAAACATGAACTTGTGATTTCATGGCAGATGCTCTGCTGTATATCATCAGGCTGGTTGTTCATCACGTTGAATAGATATGCTTCTCATGTGAAACAGAATCCTTTATCTTTCCAGGTTTTGGAATTTCTATACATCTTGATGCTCCTCAGAGACAGGTTGTGGTGCTTAGCACTCTCCCACCAGATGCTGGCATTGACTCCATTGCCTTATCCGGGAAGCTGGTGGACCCATGTGATACCCACACTGACATGCGCAGTGAGAACCCAGAGAATGAGCAGGTTAGTGTAAGGGTCTACCTGGGTTTCCCCAGTCAAGATGCAGACTCTGGCAGGGTGACCTGGGACAGATCTACTGTGGAGAAAGACATCACAGGATGGAAACAGACTTGCCTTCCCTGAGGGAGCCTCCAACATGAGCACTCAGAGGAAATGATGGTCAGCAGCAGGGATGAGGAGCACAGCATGCTCAGGTTGGGATGTAAGATTCACTGCTCTAAACCCAGTGCTTGGCTTTTCAACCAAGGGGAGGATTTGGGGATGTTTCCATCCTCATAAATGTCTTGAATCACATGTGGGTGGGACTCAGGGCCCTGCCACATGGAGACTGAGACTGTCTGGGAGGAACAGGGAGCACTCAGATCTGAGATCTCATGTCCTAAATCCCAAAGGGGACACTCCAACTTTCAGGACTGGAGCCCTCACAAAATCCTCTCCTCAACTTGATCCAGGAACCCTCACCCTGGGGCTTCTCTACTAGAGGATTTGGTATAGAGGTATAGACTGGGGGCACTCCTCCTGCCTGCTGAGGTGGTGGTGTCATCCTTCAAAGAGCAGGAATCTATTCTGAGGACCTTGTGCTAGCGTCACTATGATTAGGAGAGAGAGGGATGACATTGTTCAATAAGACGGGGTCAATAGACACATCATTTTCATAGAATGTAGAAACAAGGACATGTCTAGAGATACGTATGTGGTGTGTACTTTCCCTTAGGAATAGTCCATGAATATGTTGATTGCACAGTCAGGTTTGAGACACAGGATACCACACATGATGCTCTTCCCTCTTCATCAGCCCAATACGACATAGGGATGCTAGGCAGCTGGCTGTCAGCATATTCACCCCTATCCTAACCTGTACCTGAACTGGATACGGTCCCATTTCATGTCAGGTCTTGGAGAATCCCTCCATGGAGATTGTCCTCAACACTATGTAAAATCACATGCAGAAAAATGATGTTTCAAGATCAGTACCATCAAAGACAGTTACCTGCATGGTGGCCAAACCAACCACCAGGATTTGTGAAAGTTAGGGATTATATCTTCAATAAAATATGATTATTTCCATCATTGTAGTGTGGCTATGAGTTGATTTTATTCATATGCAATGAATCCCCGCTCATGCAGGGGAGCACCGTGCAGTGTTTAAGGTGTCGGATTTCAGGTTGTATTACAAAGCTGTGATCATCAAGACAGTGTGGTACTGGCACAAAAACAGACACATAGATCAATGGAACAGAATAGAGAACCCAGAAATGGGCCCTCAACTCTATGGTCAACTAATATTCAACAAAGCAAGAAAGACTATCTACTGGAAAAAGGACAGTCTCTTCAACAAATGGTGCTGGGAAAATTGGACATCCACATGCAGAAGAATGAAACTACATCACTATCTTACACCAGACACAAAGATAAACTCAAAATGGATGAAAGACCTAAATGTGAGACAAGAATCCATCAAAATCCTAGAGGAGACCACAGGCAACACCCTTTTTGAACTTGGCCACAGCAACTTCTTGCAAGATCCATCTCTGATGGCAAGGGAAACAAAAGCAAAAATGAACTAGTGGGACTCTATAAAGATAAAACGCTTCTGCACAGCCAGGTAAAGTCAACAAAACTACAAGACAATTTACAGAATTGGAGAAGATATTTGCAAATGACATATCAGATAAAGGGCTAGTATCCAAGTTCTTTGAAGAACTTATTAAACTCCACAGCAAAGAAACAAACAATCCAATCATGAAATGGGCAAAAGACATGACCAGAAACTTCACAGAGGAAGACATAGAGATGGCCAACAAGCACATGACAAAATTCTCTGCATCACTGGCCATCAGGTAAATACAAATCAAAACCACAATGAGATACCACCTCACACCAGTGAGAATGGTGATAATTAACAAGACAGGAAACAACACATGTTGGAGAGGATGTGGAGAAAGGGGAACCCTCCTGCGCTGTTGGTGGGAATGTGAACTGGTGCAGCCACTCTGGAAAACTGTGTGGAGGTTCCTCAAAGTGTGAAAAATAGACCTGCCCTACGACCCAGCAATTGCACTGCTGGGGATTTACCCCAAAGATACAGATGCAGTGAAACGCCAGGACACCTGCACCCCGATGTTTATAGCAGCCATGTCCACAATAGTCAAACTGTGGAAGGAACCTCTGTGTCCATCAAGAGATGAATGGATAAAGAAGATGTGGTTTATGTATACAATGGAATATTCCTCAGCCATTAGAAATGATAAATACCCACCACTTGCTTCGACGTGGATCGAACTGGAAGGTATTAATCTGAGTGAAGTCACTTGGAGAAGGACAATCATCCTATGGTTTCACTCATAGGAGGAATATAAAAAATAGTGAAAGGTATTATAGGGGAAATGGAGAAAATGAGTGGGAAATGTCAGAGAGAGTGACAAAACATAAGAGACTCCTAACTTTGGTAAACAAAGGGTAGTGGAAGGGAAGGTGGGCGGGGTAATGGGGGGGACTGGGTGATGGGCACTGAGGGAGGCACTTGACAGGATGAGCACTGGGTGTTATATGTTGGCAAATTTAACTTTTATGGAATAAAATATATATACAAAGAATATAAAAAAGAATTGGGTGCTTAACTAAGTGAGACACACACAGGCCCCAACCCTGGCCCAATATTTTTAAAATATTTTTATTTCATTTATTCATGAGAGAAAGACAGAGAGAGAGAGTGCCAGAGACATAGACAGAGGGAGAAGCAGTATCCTCACAGGGAGCCTGATGTTGGATTCTGTCTCTAGATTGGGATCATGACCTGAACTTAAGACAGATGCTAAACCGCTGAACCACCAGAAGTCCCCTTGGCCCAATTTTTAATCAGAGGATTGGTTTACTGTTGTTATGTGTTTGTTGTATTTTCTATTGATGAGTAAGTTTCCCTTCTGTATTTTTGGATACTAACTCCTCAATATGTGATTGAGCACACTGAGTCCCATGTCATAGGCTGACTTCTTCCACTGTTATAGTTTTATTTTTTTATTATTACTATTTTTTATATTTTTATTTAAATTTAAATTGCCAAAATACAACTCTCAGTGCCCATCCTATCATGTGCCCTCCTTATTGTTTTGCTAATATGTGTTCTTACTTACTTACTACTTTGATGTAGCCCACTTATCTGTTTTGATTTTGTTGCCTGTGATTTTGCTGCTATATCAAATAAATCACAAAAAGCACAGTCATGATGTTTTCCCATTTGTTTTCATTTGCAAGATTTAGCATCGTGTCTTCTGCTTGTCATTAATCCATTTTGAGATTTTTCTGTGTTCATGTATCTGTACGATGTAAGATAAGGACCAAGTGTCATTATTTGCATGAGGCTGTCCAACACCATCTGTTATAGAGACTATCCTTTCCCCAATGTGTATTCTTAGATATCCTGTGGAGGTTTTCTGACTGTATATGCACACATTTACTTCTGGGCTCCGTAATGTGCTGCGCTGTGATCATGTCTGATGTTATGCCAGTCACACAACGATGTACCAAATGTGCCTCTAAAATACATTTGTATAGGGAGTAATGTGATGTCTGAGGATTGTTGGGAGAACCATCCTCAGCACCAGAGTAGGTAACGTAGTACCCAGAAGGCTGTGATGAAACTTTGCCAGTTCCTCACTCATTCACCGACTCAAATCCAAATCCTGGCCTTAAATCTCCACAAACCCAATCACTTATTGTCACAAGCAAAAGGGCTGCCTACTGTGGTCATTGCCTGGCTGTCATATTCATGTAGCTCATGCACGTGCAAAATGAAATACATTTCTCCCTATATCTGACTTATGTCTACTGAGCTATTAGACCAAAGAAACCAGAAGAAAAGAAATATTTCTGCCCCATCAAATTGAAGACCTATCCAAGAGAATAAGGCAATAAAAAAATAATAATCAATCACTTTAGAGGCAGAAAAAATATTTATATCCATATGACATGATCTGCTACAGGGGAAAACTCTACAAACTCCAAAAATGCTTATAGTTAAATAACGATTTCAGGGAATATTCAGAATATAAAATCAACAATTAAAAGGAAGATAGGATTCTTCACACTAAAAAAATTATCTATATAAAAATTTTTAAAAATCCCCTTTACACTGGCATCAAAAATAAATATTTAGGATTAAATTTAATAAAGGTAGAATACCATACTGAAAATGACCTATTTGATGAAGGACTTTTTAAAAGGGAAACAGAAATGCAAAGTTAGCATTGCTCACAGATTAGAACTTCATATTTCAACAGCGCCATCTGCACAATGATCTGCGCAGGTAATGCAGTCGTTGCTATCAAATTGTTAGAATGAATTTTAGTCAAGATCTAAAGATATAGTCAGAGGGCATGCAAATAGGGCCCTCCCTCCGCTGATTAAACCAGCCCAGCCCAGACCCTGCAGCTGGGAGAGGAGCCCTAGCCCCAGGATCCACAGGTGATCCCATTCAGGGATCAGAACAGAACACAGACAACTCACCATGGAGTCTGTGCTCAGCTGGGTTTTCCTTGTTGCTACTTTAAAAGGTAATTCATGGAGAACAAGAGACCTTGAGTCTGTGAGTGGCGGTGAGAGAAACAGGGGACGGGGGACAGTTTCCTGACCAGGATGTCTTGTGTCTGCAGGTGTCCAGGGTGAGGTGCAGCTGGTGGAGTCTGGAGGAGACCTGGTGAAGCCTGGGGGGTCCCTGAGACTCTCCTGTGTGGCCTCTGGATTCACCTTCAGTAGTTACTACATGTATTGGGCCCGCCAGGCTCCAGGGAAGGGGCTTCAGTGGGTCTCACACATTAACAAGGATGGAAGTAGCACAAGCTATGCAGACGCTGTGAAGGGCCGATTCACCATCTCCAGAGACAACGCCAAGAACACGCTGTATCTGCAGATGAACAGCCTGAGAGCCGAGGACACGGCCGTGTATTACTGTGCAAAGGACACAGTGAGGGGACCTCAGTGTGAGCCCAGACACAAACCTCCCTGTAGAAGGGGATCGGGACCACCAGGGGGTGCACACTCCTCACCACTTCTGTCTTGAAGGTCCAGGAGCAGGTGCAGATGAATGTTCTGAGAAGGTTTTCTGTAGGGGCCTGGGATTCCTCTCCATGGATCAGTTTCCCCCAGGAGGCCTCTCTGGACACAGGATTCTGTTCACAACTATTCATCTCTAACTCACAAACATAGTTGTCATAGGAAGACGAATATACTAACATGCAGAAAATACAGAGTCAACTACATTTGACTTAGTCTTGTTCTTAAATACCAAAAATTTACAAATATCCTGATTCTCATATAATTAAGCTTTGCAATAGTCACAGATGTACTCACTGTGCATCACAGACCACCCAGCTCAAGGAACAAGCTTGCTAGAAGCAGCATAAAGTGCTTGCTGGATATGGGGCTACAGAGGCAACAACAATCCAAGCAACAGAACAAAGGCCCCTGGTGGGGTCGCTATCTTGGACCATGCTCACAGCCTCAATGCCATTGACAGCCTATGAAAGCAGTGGAACCCCCACCAGGACATATGTGGATGTGGGGTCTGAAAATCACACAAACACAGACACATACACACACACACACACACACACGACAGTATAAAACCATTATCACCTTTACCTAATTTATCTGCATTAGAGTTGGTCCATATAGAGAAGTAGACAGCTGTACACATCTGCCTCAAGAAACAAGGAAAATCTCAAATAAAAAACCTAGCCCAATCGCTAAAGAGCTGGAGAAAGGACAACTGAAACCAAAACTCAGCAGGAGGAAGGAAATAGTAAAGATTAGAGCTAAAATCAATGATATAAAATCTCAAAAACAACTGGTCATAGAAACTAGAGCCTGGTTGGAAAAAAAAACAATAAAATTGAGAATCCTTGACCTGTATTTATCAAAAAGAAAAGAGAAAGAACCC